AAACAGGGAACTTAAACATTAAGTTAATCATATTATAAATTCATTTTCAAACTATTCAAATGATGAAAGTTATTGTTATTTTTTAAGCGTTTATTAGCGAGTGGGAAGCTCCAACATGGCCGCCATCTATTCAAATGGGGGTAACCGCTGAAATATTCTTGGTTTTAATTTTACTAAAAGAGATGCGCTATCTAGTTTATATAAGATATCTATGGTTATATCTTTATGGTAAAAAATTTCATCTTGATCCGCCAATTTAGTCATGCACTGTCAAAATTGCCGGGTAGGATTTCATTAGATAAAATTTAGCAACAAACAAAGCAAAGGAAAACTAATTTACAATTCATTCATTGACATCATATCCGGCAACTTTTAACCTTGATTAAGCGAGAATGAGAGTTGATGAGAGTTGAGAAGCGAGAGCTTGCAATGAGAATTTTCTCAACTCTGATGCCCCGACCAAAGGAGAACAAGAGTTGCATGAAAGTTAATGAGAGTTGATTGTATATGACCGCGGGCGTAGCGAAAACTCTCATCAACTCTCCTTAAAATTTGAACCAGTTGATGAGAGTTGATCACTGGATAGCAACCGTGCAATCCTAGCCTAGTAACCTGGGGTCTTTATCCTAATCAAAACCCGAAAACTCAACCATTATACCGGAGGGTCTAAATTGCAGGTTGGTGTTTGGAGTTTTCATCAAGAGTAAAGACTCCAGGTTACAGTTTGGCTATAGGTGGTAGGTTATACTTATGATTTTATGATCCGTACAATATACAATGATTTAAACAATCGAGCAGCCAATATGTACTGCATTTATAGTGTTTTTTCAAACCTGTTAAGTCCCCACATTAGAGCAAAATTCACAGGAACTCCCACAATACTGACCAAGAAAAAGTTCAGATATTTATTCCCATCAAGATTAACAGAACCATACGACACACCATAGTATACAAGGGAATGAGTGAACCTGTAATGACGAAATAATGAAAACTCGATATAACAACCTTATATGAGTTTGGTTAAAATTGTAATATATTCTAAAAAAGGGAAACGAGTTCTCTGATAAAATTAAGCTTTAATTTCTTCTGAAATCCATCAAAACACTTATAACCAGTGGTAAAGACTGGGAGCATAGAAATAATAGACATTAATTGCATGATCCTAATGTCTATTATTTCTATGACTGGTAGGAGGGGTGGGGGGGGGCGGGTGTGCAGGGAGGGGGCAAACCGTCCCCCAATAATTTCTGAAAGCTCTTGAGAAAGCTGTGTATCAAAGCTGTACCAATAATTTTTCAACCACGACAGCATTGGTAGGCTAAAAATTAAGCTTACACACTGCACGAAATTTAGGGGGGAAATTTAGGATTTTCAGCTCCAAAAGGCCGCCATCAAATTGGACTCGGGAAGGGTATAAATAGTCGTGATCAGTACTTATGACAGTACTCAAAGATTATTTTTATAGTTTATGTTGGGGATGACCATGCGTGCTATATGAGTTGTAGACCTCCAAGAAATATTCTTGAGGCTACTGTTTTACTTCATGTTACCAGCTCATTATAATAGTGAAACTGCATGTAACGTCATAGTCCAAGTATCAAGAAATCCATTGAACTTATAGATGTACTTATTATCATTACCATTTATTTAATAGCGTTAGGGTTAGGGTCAAAGGAATTCATGATATCTGGTTGGCTAACAGTCAACGGTGAAATCGTCACATCTATCCAACTTATTAAGGCCTCGGTACGTAGCGTAAAATTACTACGAGGAAAGCTGATAACACAACAATAACACAAACTTCAGCCTTGATAATTCTTATCATGCTCAACCTCATTCAATAATTGCTACGTATAGAAAGCTGTCCTGTAATCTGTATATCAACTTTCTAAAATACGGACTTTGAACGAACGTTTGATACGCCATATCCCACAACCAGCATTTTACTGAATAAAACGATAAAGGTGGGTGGGGGGCTTTCAAATAAGGGGGGAAACTGGGGTAATAAGACTTGGGGGCGACTAAGCGTGGAGAGTGAAGTATAATAATTGCATGGTAGCCTCGGTTTCTTTTGTTTCAACGGGGGCGTTTAATCACATATTTCCCTCATTACCCATGCATACGCTTTTGCCTTCTAAATTTCCCCTGGTAATTTAGTTGAAAACAAAAGATTTATTTGTCTTCTAATTTTCCCCTGCATGCTTGATGAGGGAAATTTAGAAGACAAAAGCGTACTGCGTACCTCATTACCTCTCATTGCAGAGCTGTACCTCGTAGAAAATCATCGGCACAACTATGCACAGTATCTGACGACATCGTCCCGTAAACATTCAAACAATCACTTTGCCAGTTTTTATAATTTTATTCCGCAATCTTGAACATTTCAATTGTGGGAGAAAATTCCGTTTATGCGCATGCCTAAAAAGAATGAACACGGAGAGATGTGTTTCTGCGCGTGCGTATATATGAAAAGTGTTCATCCCACAATCATAAGACAATCAAACAGCATTCAAAAGAGACCAACAAACCACGCATGAATCCTTCGGCTACCATGTAATTACAAACTAAACGCATGCTTTGAGGGGAATTAGTGATTAAATGTGACCTTCCATGGGAAAACGTACGTTAACGGTTTTGAAAAACGTTCTGAAAAATCGTTCGTTATCCGTTTAAACGCTTTAGCGTTCCGTTGAAACGATTTTTGAGATCGTTCAGACTCATTAAATTAATGAACTGTTCGAACGGTTGGATAAAAACGTTTGAAAAATGTTGCTAAATCGTTCGAACGATTTGTACAAAACGTTCAAATACGTTCACGAAGCCGTTTAAATGCCTTATAGTCTTAGAGAATATCTTTACAATGGTTAAGCCGACTTTGTAGGCGTCTAAAAGTTTATCTAAAACCGCTTGCTTTGTAAGATTTACAAAAGAATACGACAAGTATAGTAAGTATTACGGACAGCAGTATAATATAAATTCGCCACCCTTCACGATATAGTTAAATATTCTAAACGTCGAAACTGTTGCGGTGAAATACTGCAACAATATATAATTGAGCAAAATGTTTCTCATATGTTAAAAGGTGGTCAAAAGGTTTTCAATTTGAATGAATCGTCTAAATTTTATGGCGCGTTAATGTGGCATAGCGTGGCAGGTGGCCGTCGTCGTCGGGAAACTGGGACTAGCAATTTTTCTGACGTCACGCAAGGTAGTCGGTATTTTGCTTTGATCATCTTCGATCTTGCGCATTCCTGTTTGAAAATCACAGTTCGGCACACTACGACTATATCTCAGGACAAAACATAAAATTTTACAGAGAAAATTTCGCGATTATGTCCGGTCAGGAGTCCGATTCGGGGAGCAGTTGTCAGTATAGTGATGACTCCGACATAAACTTTATTCCGGGTTATGTAATGGAGGATGCACAGGCCGAGAAGGACTGTGATTCTGGCGAAGACGAAGGTTGGTCAGGCTTCGCATATGCCGAAGAACCTTTAGCTGACGAAGCCTGGTTAGAAACGTACCACAGAGAAGAACAGCAAAGGCTAGAGGCCGAGGAACAGTTTACGAAAACGCTAAATTGTTCGGTGGAAATAAGCGAATGGTAAGTAAAATCTGAATTTAATTTCACTGAGTATAAATTTTCCTATTCCGTATAAAAGCCAATTTGTGTGTTGTGATCATGTGTAGCATAGTTTTTAATATATGTACAGGTGCAAATGTGGAAATTGTGGAGTAGAGCTCCTTGCTAATATACATGAATGCTACTGCTGCTGTGAGCTGGAAGTCTGTGATGAAGCACTGAAAAACAATGAAGTTCTCGAAGACCTGAAGGCCGAAGGGAAAGACATCGAATTAATAAAATGCATCACACAACACCCAGGTTTTGATTCTGTCTGCTTACAAAAATGGAGTTTAAAATTAGCTGCGGACAAGTACAAAACCAAGTCCAAATCAAGATACAGTCAGGTCAAAACGCAGAACAGGTAAGGTGAAAAAAAAAATTTCAAGGACTGGATATTTTCTATTTTCTAATGTTACACACAGTGATTTGTCATTTGTGCAGCTGTAGCTATAAAATTGCCCTGACTAGACAAATTGCTTTGTGGAAAATATGACAAGATGGGCTCGGAAGAAAAGAAAAATAATATTGAAAAAAATAAATAAAATTGTTTTGAATCGGTGGAAAAGCAAGGTTGCCGATCATCTTGAAATATATCTGACAATTGTCTCAAAAACACGCTTACTGAACATATACTGTAAACAACATATCTTACTGATAAGCCAGATCCTGTTTTGATATTAAATTAACCCATTGAGTGGTATTGTGCCCTGTTTTATTATTTTAGTTTGTCTAACGCCAGATGATTTTACTTTACAAGGGGAGAGCACTGGTGCTTAATGGGTTAATTGTGGTCTTCTATATTTAGATTCCTGCGCAGTATCTCATATAGAGAATTTGTCAGGCTGGTTTATGGCTTTCTTGGCAACAGGAGGGTACCACTGCCATCATGTGCCTACACTGCTATTAGGAAAGCATTTCCAACTGGTAAGGATGAAGCTATCACCGGATATGCTGAAGAATCTGACTGATTTATTGACTAAATGTATGAAAGTTTCAATAAAAATTTGTTCATAAAAAGTTGTGCACCCTCGTTATACTGTGTCACAAAGTACACAACATAGGGTTATAGGTGTCAATGGGGACGAGAGTACTGTTCCTTTCCCCTGTCACGAATTGTCTAACTTGTCT